TACCAGTACCAGGTTGACCGAGCTTTGCCCGGAGTGCATATCTGTGTTCGTATGGAAAAGTAGCTTATGTCGAAAGGCTGGCTTTAGTATAATGCGGCATTCCCTTTCTTCTTTAAACGACAACGAATTTTTTGATGAGACTTAATAAGAATATTGACTTGCTAGTATCGGAGCTATTTCTTGCACGTTTATTTGCCAAAAGTTCTCAACGGCTCACCGCCAGTGAGTAATTCGCAATCGTATGCTGCGAATGCCGATTTATACTAAAGCCAGCCTTTCGACATAAGCTACTTTTCCATACGAACACAGATATACTTTTTAAAGTTTTCAAGATTTGGATAGCTTTAAAAAAATATTTTGGAATTGAAAAAAAAAATGGATTTCGATATCTAGTAAGTAAATTTCTCACTCTAAAATTTAGGTGGCAACCTCATTGCGAAATACGTTGGAATCCATAGTACAAGTCTTAAGCGTACACATATGTACTGTGTATACATAAAATAAATGCTGATTGAAATTAACAAAATAAAAATTTGTATTACATAGAAACGTGGCAACCCTGCTTGAAAATATTTTCCGACCAAAGTTCTCAACAATACCTTTCATTTGATATCCATATTGCGATGTCTTAGATAAATTGTGAAGAATCGAAATAAGTGGCAACCTTACACTATTATCCTAAGGGATAACATTTTGTATATAGGGAAAGCATTGTTTAAGGAACTTCTCTTGGTACCCATGAATAGTAATGTTTTACCTTTTTTTAAACAAAATTTTAAATAAACTTGCGATTCCAAATAGGTGGCAACCCGCTTAAAAATATTTTTGAATTAGGGATCTTTAAAATACCTTCCATTTGATACCCATATTGATTTTTTAATTAATTGTAACTAATTTCGAATAGGTGGCAACCTTATACGAGTCTTCTCGGAGATTATGCCTATACGATTATCTTAAAATCCAAAACATTATCTGTGTACAAAATTTCATCAAAATCGTTAGAGCCGTTTCCGAGAACCCTATGGATATATATATGTACATACAAGAATTGCTCGTTTAATGTAATAAGATACACTCAAGAAGCACTTGTTTCAGCCCCAATAATTTCCGTTGCATTTTTCGTTGCATTGTTGTTGTTGTTGTTGTTGTTGTTGTAAATATATTTATGTATGTACTTTAGGGTGGTCCAAAAAGAAAGTAAAATTGGAATTTTAATGCTCTCTCAGTAAACTTTGTTTTTCTTCAGAAGACTTCCAGTCAGTGTTGCCATTTTGACGATAGATTTAGCTCTTTATTTTTCTATTTCGCTCCGAAAATTGGGCTTTATCTCCTAGCTCTTTTTTTAGCTCTTTTAAAAATTATCTAGCACTTTTAGCTCCAGAAAGTTTAGTTGTATTTGGTAATATATATAAATTAAACATCTGTAATTTCATTGTACAAGTGTTGACTAAAATTTATTTGGCTTTGGTGATCTCAGGCTATTTTTGATACCTTTATGTTATTCTATTTCGATTAATATTTAGAAAAGTTACATTCCGAGCGTAAGCAAATGGAAAATGGGCAAGTAAGTCGATTCGTTTCTACAACGTGCGCGGAAGCACACAAACTATAGTGGGCAGTAATGGTCTGATTATGGCACGTCGAAATCTGTTTCATTTTGATTCTCTAAGTTCTACGTTCCGTTAAATTCAGTTATGTTGCCATAATCAGGCTTTAACTCGAGCTCCGATAAACTCAGACGGTGCATTTTCTCTAAAGCGGCCACGGTAGAAAAGGAAAGCCAAAACTTAAGCGTTGATAAAATTACTAGTTTCGAAATGCAGCAGAAAAATATACTTTTGTATTGTAAAGAATTCAAAAATTAATTGAGGAATCCCTTTTTCCGAAAGCGCGGATTTTGTTTTTACTTTACTAATTTTACGTTAAGGAGAGAAGGAAATTAAAGTTTTCAGAAAATTTTTGCGACAAATGGTTAATTCAAATACATACATATGTATCTNACTCGAGCTCCGATAAACTCAGACGGTGCATTTTCTCTAAAGCGGCCACGGTAGAAAAGGAAAGCCAAAACTTAAGCGTTGATAAAATTACTAGTTTCGAAATGCAGCAGAAAAATATACTTTTGTATCCACGGGAAAATACAGACTCCACCATAAACTCTTGGATTTACGTTAAAGAATTCAAAAATTAATTAGAGGAATCCCTTTTTCCGAAAGCGCGGATTTTGTTTTTACTTTACTAATTTTACGTTAAGGAGAGAAGGAAATTAAAGTTTTCAGAAAATTGTTGCGACAAATGGTTAATTCAAATACATACATATGTATCTGAAATTGCAGATTTTAACAGTTCGTAAAGTATTTTTAGTTCATTGTCTAGTTTATATAAGTATATGCATACGTATAAGTGTTATCAGTGCCGTATCAATGAATTCGAAATATATGCACCTTATTTTGGTTTTTTCAGCACTTAAATTTATAAAATTCGCTTTTTATATTAAAATTGCGGAAAATGTTAAAACAACTTACGGGTGTTATTATCACTGGCGAAGCGAACGGATTGGCGAAGCAAATTAAGGGGCAGAGAAGGTAGTAGGAGTTTTCGCGATGCAAAGAGCGTGCACAATCAGGTACAAACGAACAATTTTTAATGCATATTTTAGTTGCGTTCGCCAAAACATTCGTTTCGCCAAATTCATTCGCTTCTTTATAAACATTAATTTAGAAAATGATAATAACACCCTACGTCAATAAATGCTCCACTTAAAATAAATGGAGCTCCTCATTTTAGCTACTATTAGTATTATTATTATTGCCCAATTGAATTTTTTGAGGCTTTTGGGGGTTCTAAATAAAAAAAATTCTAAAAAATAGTNATATATATATATATATATATATTTCAATTAAAAAAAAAAAAACAAGAGAAAATCTTTTCCGATATGAAACAAATCCTAGAGGAAATTCCGCCTTTACTTTTTCCCACATGGATTTTTTTGGACCACCCTAATGTGCGTACTATCTACTAAGTAAGTTCATAACTACAGAAAGATGAAAACGCGATTCGCTGGCGATACTCACTTGCACTAGCTGCCTCATAATAATGGAAAGGTCGTTGAAATGGAATTTTTTTTGCAATTTCAATTTGTACGCCTTCATCACCTTTGTGAGTTTA